CAAAGTCTTTGTAAATAGGGAAGGGTGGAGGGGGTGAAGGGAGGGCAGGGGAATGGGGAAAAAATAAGAACCAAGATACATCATGTAAAAGTACATGATCCCAATGAAGAATGTAACTGTATTGTATAGCTAAAATGTACCAATAAACTAAATGGGAAAAAAAAGTCCCTTTCAGCCAAGAAAAAGCCACAGGAAGAAGGAAATGAAAGATAAACATCAATGACTTCTCTCCACAAAGTGAGACTGAAAGAACATATGGCTGTTACCTTTCCCACACAGAAGACGGTATGTAGCCTGGAGTTCGGAGACTTCTTGAGGGGAAGGTTTTTTGCCTGTCGCTGCTATCCAAAGTCGTCCTCTGTGGGGAGTGTACCAGGATCTGCCCTCCACCCTTAAACAGATACAGATTTAGTGAGAAGCATCTCAATTTTAGTTTCTCAGAAGATCCCCCCCACATACAACAAATCCTACAGCAAAGTTGCCAGTTGAACCACAAGATCTAAAGAAGATACCTCAATCAGGAAGGGCTCTTTTGTGGAAAACAATACCAAAAAAACAAAAGCCTCTTTTCTCCCATAATACCTCTCCCTTGAGGGTGAACCCTGTTCTCTAATTTCTCCTATTAACAGAACAAAATTCATCTCTTTCAACTTCTGACTACTTTGGGTCACCTGGTTCCTGAAGCTCAGACCTGGAGATGTTAATAGTTTTGAACTTCTACGCATTTTATTTTTAAGGCATCCAAGTTATGCCACAGATGGGGAAATCCCTGCTCTTCCAGTCAAAGGCTAACCTTTTCCTGGAAGATTTACTGATTTATTCTCCAGCTTGACAGAAAAATTCTCATCTACACAGAACTACCCAAGAATGATACTTTTATAATTATTTAGTAGAATTTAAGTAAATAAAAATACTCTTTAAATTGCAACAACATCCATATCATTTTCTAATCATTTACATACAAGGTTATGTTTTGTGTGGATAACTAATCAGCGTGTTGACTAATTTGAAAAAATCTTTAAGTGGAACAACAGAATCCATTCAAGAGAATTTAATTAATTTGCTACTTTCCAAGATGTTTCTGTTCGCTTTTTCCCAAATTAAATAAAGCACCTGAATAATATAAGCCTCTCCCCTCATTCTTACAATGGGAAGTAGGGCTGTGACTTTTTCATATTCTTCATGTTCCAATGCAGATCAATTAAGTGTTCATGGTGAGGAATGAACCAATGTGTGTCTGCCCTCTACACCAAATAAGCTGAAGAGTTACTGAGAAAATGGCCTGCCAAATGCAGCAGAACCACACATTTTATTTCTGTTGGATTAGTGATTGTGGGATGGATGTTGCTCATCCTGTTCTTGTGTCTTTTTTTTCTTTTTTGGTACCGGGGATTGAACTCGGGTCCTCGCACTTGTGCAGTGGGCAGCAAAACCACTGAGCTAAATCCCCGGCCCACTCATCCTATTCTTTTCAGTGAGAATATCTGAATAACAGAGCCCTAAAATAGGATCAAAGAAATGTAAACATTCTGATTTCCAGGAGGCAAGCTGTTTCATTTTCTACTTTGGAAAAGGAAGACACCTAAACTGCAGAGAAATGAATGAGAAGAAGAACAGACATCTGGAGCTTGGCTGTCTTGGAGCAGAAGCAGATTCACCTGTGCTTGTTCTGAGAGCCCTACACTAAGAAGTCAAAGCAATTAGGAGCTGAAGCAAAAAAGTCTGACCTTCAGTACGGGAGAAAACTGTAGTGTACCTTATTAAAGAAAGAAACGAGAGCTGGGAATTTAGCTCAGTGGTTCTGCCACCTGCCCTACAAGCGCAAGGACTCGAGTTCGATCCCCAGTACCAAAAAATAATAAAAAAAAAAAAGGAAATGATGCCTCACAGAGAAATTATTGAAGTAGAAGTGACTGTCCCTAAGTGCCAATAATTTTTCTTTCCAGAATGCAGGGAAATGAATGTGAAGTGAAGTGAAGTGGAAAGAACACTTTGAAACCCAAACTACAACACTCAGCACTAGGGAGACTAAGGCAGGGGGATCATGAGTTCAAGGCCAGCCTGGGATACATAGTGAGATCTTGACTGAAAAACAAAAACAAAACCCCCCAAACAAACAAACACCTGAACTCTAGCTCTGTCTCTGCTACTTTCTAGCTTTGTAACAGAGCAACCTACCTCACCATTGCCTGCCTCATACTGTATCATACTGTAGTAATACTTCACAGAGGTCTTGCTTCAAAAACCAAGATTCTATTTAAATAAAAGATTTTTACTGTTATGAGTTAAGAATTCCCAGGCATATAAAATAGATTGGCCAGGTGTGGTGGTGCATGCCTGTAATACCAGCAATTGGGAGGGTGAAGCAGGAGCACTGCTGTGAGTTCGAGGCCAGCCTGAAATATATAGTAAGACCTTATCTCAAAAACGACAACAATTAAAAAAATCTCATAGATTAAATAAGAAAAAATGAAGCTGGGTTTGGTGGCATACTCTTGTAATTCCAGCACTCAGGAGGCTGAGGCAGGAGGATCATGAATTCAAGCCCAGCCTAAATTATATAGAGACAATGTCTTAAAAAAACTAAAAAACAAAAATATAAAAAGGAAAAATGAGTATGTGGTAATGATAAATAATAGAAAAACTAATATAAATATATATCATATTCTCACTATGGAACAATATGCACAGGAAAAATAATAGAAATAAATGCTCCAAAATGCTAATAGCTATTTCTAGGTGGTAGGTTTATAGGTGACCTTTTTGATTCAAACTACTTTTATGTTAAGAAGAAACACAACAACAACAACAACAACAACAACAAAGAAACATAACAAGGCCGGGGATTTACCTCAGTAGCACTGCACCTGCCTCATAAGCGCAAGGTCCTGAGTTTGATCACAGGTACCAAAAAAAAAAAAGAAAGAAACAAATCTAACAAACCATGGGATAGTAAGCTATTATCACTAACAGGTATGACTCAGCTTTATAAGTCTTCTACATACCCTTCACGACTTCCCCTACTTTTTTTATAGAAAAGGAATTCTGGCAGAATAGTTTTTCAACACGATTAACAGGATTAATAGACAGTTAAGGGGGAAAAATAAGTGTCTGGTGCTGTTGTCTTAATAAAATAAATAAATAAATATATAGGCATTAAAGCTTTTAAAGTTTCAAATAGGATCAAACCATTAAGGTTGCTGAGTAATATATTAACTGAAATGAAGTCAAGAGAGGTTTTTTACAATAGACTTTCTTCCTAAGATGAAAAAAACTGGTATTCTATCTTTGTTATGACTTGGATCCTTAGCCTATCTAAACTCAGTTTGCTTTTTAAGCTATTTGGCAGAAAAGAAACAAACAAACAAAAAACACTATTGTTTTTTTTTTTGGTACCAGGGATTGAACTTGAGTCCTTGAGCTTGTGAGGCAGGCAGGGAACCACTGAGCTAAATCCCCGGCCAACACTATGATTTTTATCAATTTAAAATCCCCCCCAAAAAATTAAAAAAAATCCCTAGCCAGTTACAGTAGCTCAAACTCATGGTCCTAGCTACTTGACAGGCTGAGGTGGGAGGATCATTTGAGGATAGGAGCTCAAGATCAGCTTCGCAACACAGTGAGACAGAATGTCTCAAAAAAGCCAGATCAGTCAAAATTAAAATACTATGAAGCCACCAATACACTGTTTAAAGTTCCATGTACTGAGGAATATTATAAATCATCACTGGAGAGCCAGGCATGGTGGTGCAAGCCTATAATCCCAGCACTTGGGAGGCTGAGGCAGGAGGATCACTGGAGTTCAAGGCCAGCCTGAGCTACAAAGCTAGACTCTGTCTCAAAAAAACCAAAAACAACAACAAAAACATCACCAGAAAACAAATTCCAATCCATAGTTCTAGAACAAGTTTATGTCACTGTAAGATCTTTCACTGCTAAAATTCATTTCTAGGGCGGGGATTTAGCTCAGTGGTGCCAATGCCTGCCTCGAAAGCGCAAGGGCCTGAGTTCGATCCCCAGTACAAAAAAAAAAATTCATTTCTATCCTTACCTTTTTTTTTTTTTTGGTACCAGGGATCAAACTCAGGTCCCTGAGCTTGCACAGCAGGCGGTTAAACCACTGAGCTAAATCTCCGGCCCTCTATCCTTACCTTTTAATCCCTCTGACAAGCAGAGAAGCCCAAGGCTGATGCACAGAAAGGCACCAGCCACTATCAAAGCCTTCCTGGAATTCTTCATCCTGTATTCTCAGTTGGTGCTGATATAGGCTGAACTCTAGTCCCGATCCTGCTGAATGGAAAGCCTTCTTCTGTGAGGTGGCACCTGTGTGATCGACCCACTATACAGGGAGGAAAAAAATTCTGTCTTACATAGGAAGAAACTGGGAAAGGTGGACAAAATGTGAATAATGCTAGTAATGATGAATCAAGAGGCCAGAAGTGGTGGTATAGGAGGCTAAGCCAGGAAGATTGCAAGATCAAGGATGGTTTGAGCCTGTTTCAAAATAAAAATTTTAAACAGTTGGAGTGTAGCCCATTGGTAGAGTGCTTGGATAGCATGCATGAAGCACTGAGTTCAATCCTCAGTAATAACAAAAAAAAAATCACACTAAGAGCATTTTCTTAGAAAATTTTATCCCATCTTTGTTCAAGGCCAAAAACGCTGAGATGGTATAAATTCAATAAGAGTTGTCCAGGATATGATAACAAGGTCTTCTCTTTATTTATTTTTGTACTATGAAATATTGAACCAGGGCTTTCCCACTGAGGTAAGTCCCCAGCCCTTTTGGTGACAGGGTTTCATTAAATTGCCCAGGATGGCCTTGAACTTGTCATCCTCTTGTTTCACCCTTCCAAAGTGCTGGTAATATAGCCATGTACCACCATGTCCAGCTATAAACTCCTATATTAAAGTATAAGGAGAAAGTTTGCTGCTTCCCTGAAATGAACAACTTTTCCCCAAAAGAAAAGACAGAGCCCCTGGGAGGCAAGGCTCCTATCACACACAGGGGACAGGGAATTACAGGGTCAGGTGATTACATGAGATGAGAGTCTTGGCAACAGTGCACTCAGAGGTAGATGAAATAAGAAGATCAAGTGCTTCAGAATGAAGAAGAAAAACAGGCTACTGTGATGGTGAGACTTAATTTTTTTAATTTAACAATTTATTGAAAAAGCCCCGCTAGAGTGGTAGACTGGCAGCCTGGAGATCCTAACAATCATTTAACCCTGAAAGCTTTCAGTTTTCTCTACACAAAAGGGGGAAGCTGGAGTAAAGGAATCTCTTAGAATGTTTCTGCAATAAAATTTTATGATTCTCAATTATGTCATATCTTAAAAAAATACACTTATGGGCCAGGGATGTGGCTCAGTGGCACCGCACCTGCCTTGCAAGCACAAGGTCCTGAGTTTGATCCCCAGTACCGGAAGCAAAACAAAACAAAACAAAAAAATATTTACTCTGCACTTAAGTATGTGAAAAGTACGTAACTAGGGAGACATTAAATATCAAAAAGATACTGTTCTTGCTTTCAAGGAACTTAGATACTAGTAGAAGACAAATATAAAAGTAATTGTCCAAAACATAAAGTAAAACTGGGTAAATACGAAATAAAGATAGAACCTCTTACATGGGAATGTAGAGGAAGAATTGATTCATAATGGAGGAAGTAAGTAATTTTATAAAAATGCTGAGATTTGAACAATCTTCATACCCAAATCCTTTGTTCTATCTCTACTACACTTTTTTTGTTGTTTTTTTTTTTGGTACCGGGGATCGAACTCTGGTCCTTGTGCTTGCGCAGCAGGTGACAAAACCACTGAGCTAAATCCCTGGCATCTACTACACTTTTTGAGTCTAATCACACAGCCACTTACCTAAATTAATCTCTCCTTAATCTTTTAATATAGTTACAGAACTTCTTAACCAGTCTCTTCATTTACATTTTTAGTCATTAATAACTGTCTTTTTCCTTACTGGTGCTACAACACTAACATGTGTCCTCACATATTATCTCCCTACTGTGCTGCTGCAATAATCTCCTCAGCAATTCTGCTGCTGCTAGTCTTACCTTTCCCTTCAATCCATTCTCTATATAAGCATGGAAGTCATGCAAAACTGCTAAAATCCTTCAAAGACCTCTCTATGCCAACTGTAGGATAAAACCTGAACTCCTTAGTATGTAACATAAGGGCGTTCATGATCAGGGGTTGTCTGAGATACTGGGTTGAGTAGTATGCCCTCAATGTTTAAGTCTACTGTGATTGTTTATTTATTTAAATATTTAATTATTTTTGGTACTTGGGATCGAACTCAGGACCTTGAGCTTGAGAGGTAGGCGCAGTGCTACTGAGTTAAATCCCCAGCCCAAAGTTTACGTCTACTTACATTCTACTTACATTCTGACCTTTATTTTGAAATAAAGTCTCCAAGAATGCAATCATTTTAAGATGAGATCATCCTAAATCCAGTGACTACTGTCCTTATAAAGTGGAGAGGACACACAGAGACAGAGACATACAGGGAAGAAGGCAATGTGGAGCCAGAGGTATGGACTAGAGCAGTGGTGGCAAACCCACAGCATGCGTTTGCAGCGGGCTGTACCACTGAAAGCTCTAAAAGGTTTGCCATCACTGGACCAGTGTGATGTAGCTACAAGCTGAGAGATGCGTAGGGTCACCAGAAGCAGAAAAGGCACGAAACAGTCTCCTGCAGAACCTTCAAAGGGAACGTGGCCCAGGTGACACCTTGATTTTGTTTTTTTGTGTTTTTTTTCCAGTACTTGTGCTTTCCAGGACCTTGGGCTTGCCAGGCAGGCACAGTGCTACTAAGCTATATCCCCAGCCTGACACCTGGATTTTGAATAAATGGCAGCCCTAGGAAACTAATACATCTACCACTCCATAACAATACTTAATTACTTGTGATTCTCCCAGACCTGTGTGCCTTTGCACATGTTGTATCTTCTACTTGGAATTCCCTTCCCAAATGTGTCTGCTTGCAATTACTCTCTCTCTATTGTGATACTAGGGATTGAGCCCAGGTCCTTGCACATGTAATCCACCACTGAGCCACATCCCCCTAGTGTCTAAATCACTACAGTACGTAATAAAACCTGTTAGAAGATAACTCAGAAGATAAACAGGTAGTTTGTTAAAAGTGCTGCAAAAATAACTGGAAAAACTAGACTAGAGAAAAGGGTTTGTGGATATGCTAAGAACAGATTGGTATCTAAAGCCTATGAAAAGGACACATCAGAACGGAAAAATATTTGGAATCAAGTTTCATTATGAATTAGAAGCAAAGTCCACTAACCTGGGGAGGGGACTGGTACAGGTTGGGATTTACCAGAACTCCCAATGGGTCTTCAGAAGATCTATCCAATCTCATCAGTGGTTGGTTCCAAGTTCCACTGGCAATGGCCTGTATGGTCTCATCTAATCTGTGATAACAAATCAAAAAGATGCAATAGTCAATAATGTTTTATGCTTAGAATGTGCTTACTTACCACAAACACAAAACTCTTCAGTAGTAACAAAATTTGGAATTCAAAGGGGAGTCCATAGACAACCACCCCTCCTTACTCCACCGTTCTTTCTCTTTGCACCAAGAATCCTAAGGAAAATGGGTTGCTCATCTTGTTAAACAAGATCAATAAACAAGACCAGAAAAGTTGCCTAGAAATAGCCTGACCCATAGAAGAATACTCTGTGGCAACTTATCTAACCAACATGCCCTATACAGCTGCTGCTCTGTCTCCTCAGGGACCTTTCCTACTCCTTCATGCTAACAAATTCTAAAGAGACCACCTACTTCCCCAATACAAAAGTGCTTACTCCTTTCTGTAAGCACCTACTATCCAACAATTAATGGACACATCTCAAATTATTCTAAGGTCCCCAAAGTACTGGCACTAGGATTTGACTTTAAACTTATAAAATAATGTGATAATTTTCATTTGAAGATTATGAAATCCTACTGGCCTTTAAGAAATCATAGGTGTAAGGGAGAATAACAGAGCAGATGGATAGGACTAAAGTATGTTTTATATATATATATACATATATATACATATATATACACACACATATATATACATACACATATATATATGTGAAAATGCCACACTGAAACCCAGTGTTCTATAAACTATGCAGTAATAAAAAGACATATATTGGAAAAAATGAGCATAGGTCCTGTAAAAACTCTATCTTATTCCATTCTAATTTCCAATAGTACTTGCTGCTATATTCCATACCTCTATTGGATGCTTGACAACCATTTGTGAATGATGATAATTCTAAGGGACTACATAACGAAAAGCTTCTAATAACAAGGAAGGATGAACCTGACCTTGATTTCAATTCAAGTTATAATTATTAGAAACCTCTTCGGTGCAATGCAACTTGTGGTGGGGGACATGGTTCCTGACTTTAAGAAGCTTTGAATCTACGTGCTAGGTTTAAGATAGCTACACGGATGATCAACCATATCTGAAGGGCATAATAGTTACTACGGACACACACAATCCATCTGGTGATTGTTATCCTATCGTCCCATGCGTTGTACCATGTAAGTTCAAAGGAGAGACAGATATTGAGAGGTGATTATCGGGGGAGAGATTTCCAATGGAGGAAAGAATAGAAACCAAAGGCAGAAGCTAAAAAAAACCACAAGATGTGAAATGAAACTAGAGTGAGGGCAGTGAGATCTGAAAGGGGAATGGAACTGAGATATAGCATTGTGGTTAAGTCCATCTATTTTCTCTAGAATCTAGAAAAGAAACAATCCAAACAGCTAATAAATACATTTTAAAACACTTAAATTTACTAGCACATACCCAAAGCAAAGAAATATGAATGAAAATTATGATGAAATGTGATTTTTCATGGATCAGAAAAGCAAATATTAAAAAAAAAAAACTAAAGGGAAAGAGGAAGCTGTCATCTTGATAGGTGACATGTAACTGTAAAGTTAAAAAGTGCGAACAAGCCAAGTATTGTGGTACACACCTGTAATCCCAGTACTCTTTGAGAGGCTGAGGCTGGAAGATGGCCAGTCTGAGCCCAGCCAGGACAACCTAGTGAGATCCTGCCTCACAACAAAAAACAGAAACACCAAAACTATAATAGTGAATATGTCATTAGACATTTATCCAAAGTTCACAGTACCACCAAATTTTTTTCCAAACCCATAAAATGTACACTAAGTGAATGCTAATTTTAAGCTATGGTCTTCTGTGGTGATATCACTGTAACCACTGTAACTCCATCAGTTGTAGGACATGTACCATTCTGGTGGGGAATGCTGACAATGAGGGAGGACCTGTGGTGGGGCGCTGGGAGTACATGGGATATCTCCATACATCTCTGGGCTTGAACTTCCAATCCTCCTCCCTCAGACTCCCGGAATGTAGGCACGCACCACCAAAGTCAGCTCATTGATCTATTTTTGTATGCAAATTGTATCTTGTTTTTTTGGGTTTTTTTTCAAAAATAGTAATTATCTAGTATAGGTAGGGACAAGTTCCCTTCAAAGTTCATTTGCAAAATTTTCTTAGTTGCCATTACATTTTCCATTCCAAATATACATTGTTTTTCTTATTTTTATTTTGTGGTGCTGGTGATCAAATCCAAGTCTTCATGTATGCTAGACAAGTACTCTACCACTGAACTATATCCCTAGCCTTAAACATTGAAAACTTTACTTTTTTTGTAGTGCTTGGATCATCATTATTTTTATTTTTTTAATTTAAATTTATTTTATTGGAATTTTTTTATTCATTAAGTTTATTGTACATTTTAGGTATACATTATGATCACATTCATTATTGGGAATTTGTACCTGTGCATGATATATTTTGGTTCTTGTTTTTTCCCCATTCCCCTTCCCCCCCCTTTTACCCCTCCACCCTTCCCTATTTACAAAAACTTTGTTTCCATTTTTTCCTCCTTTTTCATTATTTTTAATTTTTTGCTTTGAGTTTTTTGTTTTTTGAGACGGTCTCACTACATAGTTCAGGCTGGCCTTGAACTCACTATGTAGCAGCCCAGGCTGGCATCAAACTTGCAGTAATCTTCCTGCCTCAGCCTCCTGAGTGCTGGGATTATGAGTATGTATCACAAGCCCAGCTATGATTACTTTTACATTCAACAAAAACACCAAGTCCATTAGAGAGAAAAAACCCTTTCACATTAACCTGCTTCTTCTTTTTAGAACCTTCATGATGCTACCCACTCACCTGCTGTGATACTCCGCTAATGGATTTTCTTCTTCTAGGATCTTCCTGCCTGCAAAGTCAATGGTGATTTTCTTAGAGAGTCGAGAGGCATGTCGAAGTTCTCTTAGCTCTTCTGCTCGCTTCTGCAGGGTTTCTCGCTCAATTTTGGACAACCACTGGTTAGAGTCACTGGCAAAGTAATCTGACTCATCATCAATGACTTGGGTCCTTCGAATGCTAAGATAAGAAGAAAAAGGAACATGTAGCAGTTGGGCACATGTTGATAAATATGGATGGGGAAGTGCTGCAAAGTAGCTTACGCTCTACCTGCTCTGGGGGTTACTATCTAAAATATAGAACCCCAAGAATATTTCAAAGTCAGGTCAACTGTGCCTGTATCACCACTGCAGGCTCAGCTCAGCTCCTTGAATTACTTATTCTCAACCTACGGCAAGAAAGACACAGAACCACAATCCATTGTCATTCTATCTAACTAGTTCAGCTTTCACCTTCTAATAACTGAGTTCATGTTCTGGCAATTTACTCAATATCCTAGTCCTACAATCTGGCTCGGCCTATTTGCTCACTGGGATTCTATCCTGAAATTTGCTGGCTCAACTGTTTACTCTTAAATAGGCAGAAAAAAAATTCTGAAATCAGACTTATATACTGATTTCAGTTTTTCAGGACTCAGCTAGAATTACAAGATTCTGTTATAGAGTAAGATGTTTAAGGAGATTTACGAGAGGAAGCAGGCTTGGGGGAGTACACCTGTAGTGCCAGCTACTCAGAAGGCTGAGGAAGGAAGACTACAAGTTCAAGGCTAGCCTGAGCAACTTGTCAAGACTGTTTCAAAATAAAACATTTTTAAAAAGGGTCTGATGGGTATGTGGAACACACTTATATTCCTAGTACTATTGGAGACTGAAGCAAGAGGATCACAAGTTCAACCCTCACCTGGGCAGTTTAGCAAACTCCTATCTCAAAACAAAAAATTTACAAAAGGACTAGGATGTAGTTCTGTGGGAAGACCGGAGTGCAATCCCCAGTATTGCATAAATTTTTTTAAATCAAAAAATAAAGGGAGCTGGGGATGTAACTCAGTGTTAGATCACTTGCTTAACATACACAAGGCCAAGCTGAGCCGGTCCCAGCACCTGGAAGGAAGCTCCCCCACTGCCATCCCAAGCTCCTAGAGCAGAGAAGCTGAGCCAGTCCCAGCACCTGGAAGGAAGCTCCCCTGCTGCCATCCCAAGCTCCTAGGACAGAGAAGGTGAGCCAGTCCCAGAACCCGGAAGGAAGCTTCCCTGACGCCATCCCAAGCTCCTAGGACAGAGAAG